AGGCACAGACACCTGAGGTATCAGTCAGATGGGAAAAAAAATAATCTGAATTTTCTAAATGGTCCATTTTAAGTGTGTATGACAATAATGTTATTATCCACTAAGACAGTAATAATTTAAAGGAAAGCATAAAAATTTCCTGTTGCATCTGGTTTCCTTATTCCATATAAATTACCAGAGTAAGAAGAAAAATCAGAAGATGCTTAGAACACCAAGACCCTTCTGTTCTGCCCGTTTTTCCAGTGCCTGGACAGGTAGGAGACAGATGCAACGTAAAGAAGGAACTACTCATTTTTAATGAGTACACATAATATTAATTGCCTACAAACATATCTAAGTGCATTTTTAAGCAGATACTTGTCACAAATATTCATAGATCCATTTAATCTATAGGTAGTATCTTCAGTAGCGTCAATTCTTCCTTCCGTTAGGTTTAGATGTGCTAGGCAGTACAGTGATGAAGCTTAAGCAGCTGTCTGAAAAGCACAAGGTGGATTTCAAAATCTCTTCATTAACAGGCTGATGAGAGCTTTTCCCATCGATTCACCCAAACCAGGACTTCCTCAGATGTAGTTTACTTTTTCTTAGTGGGAGGCTCTGCTCAGTATGGTTTGTACTGCTACAGAAGATGATGGGTAAAATACTGCAAGAAGCCTTTCAGGCTGCTTCAGAGTTCGTGAGATTCTGAATTTGCCCAAAACTCTCAGGCATCTTCTACAAGGATACCTTTCCTTCACCAAGAAAGGTCTGGTTCTGGTACTTCTGTCCTTTGTCCAGGGACAAAAGACAAAGATTTACCTTCACGAAGTTCACGTGAAGCCCAACAAGAAAGCAACCGGGCAGGCAACGTCCCTGGCTCTGATGATGAGGTTACTGAGGATGATAATAGAGGCATTGATAAAACCATCTGGATTGCTTTATGCATTATCACTTCTGAACTCTCCAAATACCAATGGGAAGCAACGGTTTGTTATTAAGGGTAATTTATTCTAAGGATTGCTTGATGTGGTGCAGATAGTAAACAGAATACTCAACGGATTTACTACGAGTTTCCCAAGAGACTCAGAAGTTAAAATAAACTTACTTCATTGCACTTCTCCCAAATCAGAGCCTGAATCCCAGCATTTTTATGTGACACAAAGGCAGGAAGAATTACAGACTCTAGGAGGAGTTGGATATTCTACAAGTGTTCTCTAAAAGGAGAGGGAATAATAAAAGAATTCAGTTTCAGTGAATTTAAATGCAGGACCCAGAAAACGCCAAGCACAGAAATTTGCTGAAACTAATAGAAGATGGCAAAAAAAAAACTGAACCAAGTGTTCATTAATACCAAAGGGCCTCCAAAACTACAGAAAACTTCCCAGGACATACTTGTTATGTTACTTCTCTTTCTGTAGATCAGCAGTTTTGTATCTGTATGTGTGTGTGCACGGACACGCACGATGCTTTCCAGACTTAGCGTGCCTTTTTCTATTTTGTGGGGGGCTTTACAGAGATTCAGTCATCAGAAGTAAACTGCTCTGGCCAAGAGGAGCAGAACAAGAGGACACAGAGTAAAACACCGTATTCCAAAATGAAGGTTGTTTTACTGAGAGCTAGGAAGGTGGAAGGTGTTGATGGGTCAAAGGTGTTGACAGAAGAGGCAACTGGCACAGAAACCCAGAAGAAATATAAATAAATAAATATATATTTATTATTATTTTTCTTTTTTCTTTATGGTGTAGGTGGCAGAGCCGTGGCCCAGGCAGCCCAGAGGCTGTGGGGTCTCCTCCTTGGAGAGCTCCTAAAGCCGCCTGGCCATGGGCCTGGGCACCCTGCTCTGGGTGGCCCAGCTGGGGCAGGGGCTGGGCCCGAGGGACCCCGAGGTGTTGCCAGCCTCACCAGGCTGCGATTCTGTGGGTGCTAAAATGATGTGAAGAGGGATGGGTAAGCTCAGTATCGGCCAGATAGTGAAATACCAGTGCAAAGTCACTGGTGGGAACCATGGTGAAGAAAAGTGGGAATTAGGAACAGACAGCAGATCTGAAACAGCTGGAAAGGGTTGTGAATTCATGAAATAAAATAGTCAGAAAAGGAATAAGCCAAGAAATCAGCAAGAGAGACAGGGCTAGCAGGTAAAGGGAAGGAGTCTATGCTGAAGTTGACAGGAACCTAAAAGTCTATTGGTTCAGTGCAAGCAGTTTTTGTCTTGTTTGCTTCTTTGTTGTGTGTTTATTGTTTGTTCGTTTAAGGAAAAAGTGGACTTAGCTCCAAGTAGATCTTTTCCCAAACCTCCCTCCTCTTTCCATCTTTAGAAATTCTGTGATCATTTACAAGAAAGTGAACATGGCAGAAACACTTGGCAGAAAATGGGCACGGCTCAGAAATCGCTCAGTTGGCTGGGCTAACAAACCATGCTGAAACCATCAGGGAACACGCCTTCCCCTGCCTTGGTTCTAATTCTGCCTCTTTTTACACACAACACAGAATTTTGTTCAGGGCAACTTGTTTCCTCTGCTCTAATTGAAGTCACTGCACCCTACCATTATTGAGGAGTCACTTCAGGAAGGATTTTAGCCAGAAAACACCTCTTTAGGCCAGGTGGGAATAATTTTAATATTTTATTAAAATAGAGCTTCAAAAAGGGGAACCAGTAATACTAGACTCCAGAAATAATTAAAAACAAACAAACACAAAAAATTCCTGACTATTCTCTGCACACAAAACAAACAATGGAAAAGTAGCTAGGAATACAGAGGCAAAATATGTCAGAAGTTGCACATCAAGAGGATTTTATGTTCAAGTGATCTCATTCCGAGTTTTATGATATTACTGTATTATGCTTTGGTTGCCAACTACTACACCGAATTGCTGGCAAGCCCACCGTTCACACAAAAACAAAATACAAGACCTTTTTAGTCAGAGTAGGAATTCCCAAACTGGACCACAAATACACTTCAGTTTGAGTTATACAAACTGGGATTTCTCCTTCTCCCACACTTCGCTACTGACACAGTTCAACTTGGAAAACTTTCAGAAGTAGCATATAATTAAAACTCTATCACCTCATCTGGTGTTCAGCTTTTCATTGTGATTGTGTCTCTATCATATTGCTCAGAGTGACAATGGGATTTCAGAACTACGTATTCCTACATGTGAGACACCTGCATGGATCTCTGTTGAGAATCTTTGTTAATAATGAAATGTAAAGCCAAAAATACAGAGCTATTACCAAAATCCTGAATCACTGGTATATCCTCAGTTGTTTAGCTGGAATCACTTGTGGGTGACTTTATTTTGTTGTTTTAGTTTGCTTGTTCATTGGGAGGAGATGTTTGAATATATTTAAGATCTATTGAACTTACCACATACAACCGCACTTTCTGTCCATTTTCTGATTTTCATGAACTTTCCTACCACAAGGGATAGGAAGAGCAATGAATGGCACAGAGGACGCATTTAGAACCAGTCTTCCTCTACCCTGCTCTGTTTTTCTACAGGCAAAAACCTGCTACCACTTACTTAATTTCAACTTTAATAACTGGTAATTACCTACTTGTAGAAGCTGGAAGAGACCATCCAGGTTCACTACCACCAGTAGCTTATTACCAGGAGCAGAAAAACAACTGGCAGAAGAAAACGATGAAACGCTCTTGTGCTCAGCTTTCATCTAGACTCTCTCCACAAACCATTAACAACACTTAAATTCAACAGAAGTTGTGACTAAACACTCGTGACGCTCCCAAAAGCGTACAGTCTTGGGTAAAAAGCCTTCTCAAACCTGTTCACAGCATCTACCAAGGAAGAAGCAAGAGACCAGCACGTACAGCCAAAAGCTCATCCTCCATCCACTTAAAGATTTCAGCCTCAGCTTTAACCACTCCAACCCTATTCCTGTACGGCGTACACAAAACCTTGCTGCAAAAATGGCTCTTCTGAGGTCCTCTACTTGTTCTCCCCATAAACCTACACCAAGTGCAGGCTTTCAACTTCACATTTAAAGACTTCACAACTCTGTCTGCTTTACTTACCAGCTATAATTGACAACTCCTGCAACTCAGCTGGCATTTCCATGCAACTGCCTCCCTGACCGCCAGCTTCTGCTGTTAGCGTGTCTGTGCTTTCTTCCACTTTGCTCATTACACATATAGGGCTACCTAATTAAATTTATAATCCCTTATGTCTCGATGAATTTTTAAGCTTTATCTCTGTCAAAATCTACAAACTTCCGCCAATTGGCCGTGGCTTCATCCCTCCTGGCAGGTTTCATCCTGCTACATATATTCAGTCCCCGGTTAAAAGCAGGCAAATGGCTACAGACGTGTGCCTGGCAAAGACATGACAGTTCTTCACCACGGCCTTTATCTTGCGAGTTAGCTCATCTGCTCGTCTCTTTAGACTCTTAACCTGCCAGCACAGACTTCACAACCCACTACAGCACTGCTCGATCCAGTACAATCCGAGCTCTCCAATAACTGGAGCGTTTGAGAACCACCAGAACAAATATTTACAAAAGCAGGAACCGATTCTTATCTCGTTTCCTCAGCAGCAGTAGGAAGCGTTAACGTTAGGTTATCCCAGTTACCCCGCTGGTATATAATCTGAATTAGTTAGCTGAGTTAGCTCAGAATTAGTTAGCTGATTACAAGTCTGTTAGTAATACTGCATTTTGGCAGCTATTCTAAAAATAACAGCTTCAGAGGTTTTATTTGTTTGATACAAACTTAAAAAACAAAACAAGAGCAAACAAACAACAACAACAAACAGAGTCACTACATAACAACATGGGAAGCATCCCCACTAGACTACTAAAAAGCACTAAGTTCAAAAAGCCTTCATTAATATAGATTTAAATAATGGTTTTTTTTTGTTTTTTTTTTTTTGTTTTATAGTATCTGCCCAAATGCATGTCTCAGACTTCAAAATTAACTAAATACTTGTCTACCAAAGGCCTACTTAATTAAATGGATTTCCGAGAGAGAAGCAATAATCAGAGAGCACCGCTGCCACATTCTCATTACCTGTTTCCACAGTGTTTTCTGTTTCTGCTGCCTCCAAACCATCCATACTGTCTTCATCCTCCACTGCAGTTTTTCCTCTACTCCGAGGCCTGCAAACACAAGAAGAGAAAATTGTTTTTAAGCTGATAGGACTTTTTAATTTTTATTTTTAAGTTTATCCAGGATCTAAATAATTCCATTTTGGAGGGAAAATCGTCAGCACCAAACTGTAGAACGTTTAAGCCAAGCAGGGATTTGAGTCTTGTACAGATCAAGGTTCCTCCCCTTTCTTCCTGTTTTAGGGAACGATCTCAAACAATGCACACTTCACCCAGCAGCTGGCCCCTTAAGTTTCCTGATTATTTATTACAAGAAATATTCTCTCATAAACTTCTGATCAAAAAAATATATATTAAATATCATTTTATAATGAGTGTGCTGCTTGCTCCACATTTTTTCATTACATACGAGGTATCTGCAGAGATAACAGAGAACAACCCAAATCTGGCCAGTAGTCACATGTGCAATAATAAAATAGACACTAACTCATTCAGAGCATCCTGAGGAATAAAAACTATAGAATAACAACAAGGCTAAAGCACTCGAATTGAACCACGTATTATTTTCAGTGAAATAAATATTTTGACGCCAAAAATCAAATGTTATGAGAGATGGCTGGGTGTTCCCACAGTAAAGAAGTCATCACGGGAGGAGAGCACATGGAAACTAAACTACCTGGCAGCTCCGTTTCCATTTCAATCAAGGCCTGACGGGGAGCAGGCAGGTTTGCATCCCGGATTTCAGCCTTTTTTCCCCTGCCTGCCTCTCCGGCAAGAGCGGCGGTGGGCTGTCGCGAAGCCCGAGCATCCAGATTCCCAGCTGTTCAGCAGCCCATTTGAAAGGGAGCCAGGCGCTTGGCACCTCGCCTCCCGAATTTTCAGGCTACTTGGCGAGCTGCCTGGCACGCCGACAGAAAGCCTGGGAGACCCTGGGAGCTTCTGAGTCCAAGCACGCAAATTCGGAGAGCTTTGGGGCAGCTCAGTGCTTCCAAAGCCCCCCGAGCTCCAAGGCAACCGGTCAGCAGCCAGCCTGCCCTCAATCGGGGTGTCCCCCCCGGGGAAATGTCCCCCGGCACCGAAACCCTTTTGCTTCCTCTTTCAGGGATTCTGAAAAGTTTGCTTTTAAGTTCTGCATTGGGAGATTATTTTTTTTGAAGTGATTCAATCGTTCCAAAAACTGCGTTTCCTTTTTTTTTTTTTGCACAGTTTGTTAAAACGCTGCGACCTAGCAAAAGTATTAGCTCACAGCTAGATCTGCTAAACTGGCTACAAAATATACTCTGGGATCAAATACGATCCCAGAAGAATATACAAGGGATCTCTGGGATCGAATGTGATGCCATGCACAGAGCTGGGACTGACAATCATCTTCTGGGCCTACATTTGGTGTTCTCCTGCTAAGCAAGGGGGCCTGCCTGGTATTACTGAAGAAGAAATCCTTTTAAACTGTGTTGGGATCCCTTTTGCCTCTGTGAAGGAGGAAAAGAAGAATTAAAGTGCAGCTAAAACCAGAGCCTGAAACAAGCCACTCCTCTGCAAAGGAGCGAGGGGAAAGAGGAAAGTGAGAAGAGGCTGAGGACAGGACTTCGCTTCTTGGCACCGTGATATTTGTTCCAACAAAGCCAAAAGATGTGGGAGCAAGGCTAACCCTCGGGACACACGGTTACCTTTCTCCTTGCTGGGTTATCCAGAGGCAGTGACAGCCCCCCAGAATAAAGATTTCGGTTTCTTGTGTTCCTTTACAACAGCCCAAGGCGTCAGCCAGCCCCGCACGGAGAACGCAGGGAGGCTGAGACACCTCGCTCGCCGCAGCAACGCCGCCAGGCTCTGCCAAACGCACCCAGCTGAGGACAGGGATTATTTCTAAATCCCATCCCCATTATTCCTCCACCAGCCAGCCCTCTGCATCGCCGAGGTACACGTTTGGACTACGACGGGATCACTTTTAAACCAGCACAAGCCGAAACGATAGTCCTGCTTTCTTCCCAAGTACCCCCTTCCAGTCATCTCCGGCATCTTTTTCGGTGAAAGCCCCCAGATCTTGAGGTCTCTTCCAACCTAGACAATTCTGTCATTCTGTGAAATAGTGAAAGATGACTGCTTGCACTTATTTAATAATTCACATCTTGCCATTACAGCCACAAGTAACGTACAAAACGCTGAAGTTCCTCACAAAGCTCTTTTAAACACTTTGCTTAAACAAGAGCAGCGGTCGCTCCCCCAAGTCCCCACCGTATTTTCACAACCTATTTAACACTGAGGAGAAGCAGAGGTTTCAATTAATTAAACGTAATTGCTTCTTTCCAGCACAAGGTAGAACCACGCCTGGGCTTTTCTTGCCATCCCCTCCCCTCCCCACCTGCATTTTCCTAAAAGCCCTCGTAACATCGGGTAAATTTGAAATAGAGAACTGGAAGAAATGCTGGATTGTATCAACTTATTTTCTGTCAGGTGCATTCGTTTCACAATTACATGAGATTTTACAGCCTAAAAATTCAGGTTTGCTACAGAGAAAAATAATTCACATCCCAAATGTGGGAAACACAGGCTGTACTGGCAACTCCCCTTCAACATTTCCATGGGAAATGCCATTTGGAAAGGCTGTTTCATGCACCTCACTGCTACAGTCAACATCTGCAGTAAGAACGGATTGTTTGATGTCACTTTTATTCATTTTATAGATTTAATAAAGGCTGTGACAGCTTTGCTTAACACTAGATTTTCCTCTGACAATCCCAGTGACTTTATTTATTTATTTATTTTTCTATTTATTTATTGCACTCTCCTTTAAATGAAGTGGAAAAGCCAATGGTGGGGATATTCTGCTCTTGGGACTCAACTCTTTGAGTTACCAACAGGACTAAGACCTAAACCTGCTCTCACCAGACAGTTTTCTAGAAAGCTTTGCCTTTTGGACTGCAAATTAGCCCAAACCTGGTTAGCTAATAAGCACACAGAGCAGTAACGCACCCATCGCTGTGCATCCTCCACCAAAGCCAGCACCTCTAACACCAGACCAGTCCCCAAGCAAAGCCTCATCCCAAACACTACTGCAAGAGGAACAGCAGCAGGACAAATTTGGGTAGCTCTGGGGTTTTCCAGCATATATTCCAGAGTCCCAAACTTCCTTACAAGCAGGGCACGGCACACCACACCTCTACCCATCACCGCAGGATCCAAAGCCCCCAGGCAGCAGCCGGGTGAGGCACGGATGAGCCACATCTCACCCCGGTACGGACCGGGAACAAAATGTACAGGCAGAGCCCGGCTGATAGAGACAAGGAGCACACAACAATAAATCTGGGGCAGTACAATAGGCAGTGGGCTTGGCACACAGGCTGAGCCGCTGCCAAGCTGCCCGCGACTGGCGTTCTCGCTTGCCTTTTCCTACAACAGAGTGCGATTTAGAAGGAAAAAAACAAAACCACATCTATTGATGTTTAAATGAAGGGATCCACTGTGAGAAATGCAACGTCTTCAAGCAGTCAGCATTTCGTGAAACAAAGTCAACAAGAGAAAAAAAAAAAAATACTTTTTTTTAAATGTATATAGGACTCCAGCTGAATTTAATTACTGTCTACAATAATTTTATTCATATTTATAGAACATTGAGTCATTTATCAAAACCCTCTGCGACCTGCTCCAAAATTTGTCATCAATTAGCTCTCTTGGCTAATGCCTTTCATTAATCTCCATCTTTAAATACATCATAGTAAATACGATTCTTGCGAGCGACTAATCACATTTAGCCCACAGGACAAAAAAATCCCAGCATAAAAAAAAATAAAAATCCCAGCAAAACCTGCTGCAGGGCTCAGCAGGTCATTAGCTGGTCTGTTTGCAGCAGGCAAAAACCTGAGAGGTTGCTTCCAGGCTTGGTCTTTTCAGTAATACAGCAACATCTCCAAGCATCGAAGGGGCTTCTGCTGAAGTGCATGGAAAGGGTCGTGGATGCACTATGCTAGGATAAAATAGAAAAGTGTCTTTTTTTTTTTTTTTTTTGGTAGTTGGTGGTTGTTTTTTGTTTGCTTTGTTTTGAAATGCATGGCGTTTTTTGCAGTGTACTTCCCCCCTTCTCCCCTGGTGCCAGCAGTAGCTCTGCAGGCTTCCAAGCACAATACAGGTCAGAAGGACGCCGTGGCTCTTACTCATTCTTTCCTTCCAGTCACTGGTAACAAGGCCGTGGGCCAGCATCTCCTGGAACCACGTGAAATAACCAAAGAAGCCACTCTGCTTCGGGTTTTGTCGCTGCCAGGCTGCCAGTTTCTGACTGCCCAGAAGTTACAGCCAGACAAGAGTTTCTGCAAGTTCTCCCTAAGTTGCTACCAACAAAATCAGATGATAATTTCAAAGCATGGTCTGAACAAATTAATTTACTAGTCCAGCAGATTTGTCACAGCTTACCAGGTGTTCATACAAACCATCCCAGAGCTTCGCCCTCTTTCTCCAGTGCCCTGAGTTGTCTGGGGAGGAATTAGCTCCCCAACTACGCTTTGCGAGGTGCTGAGTGCAATGCTGAACACAGAGAAGAGGACCAATAACCTTAAAAAGCGGTGTAACATCTGGGACACGGTAACATCCTAAAGCAGCACAGATGTCTTGTTAAATGAACATCTGGCCGCAGCCTTACCCTGGAAGACAGCAGAGGCACGCTGCATAAAAAGGCTCCATCGGTGCCGCAGCCAGCAGGGCTGGCGACAAGCCGGTGTCCACACGACATTTCCTCGCCTGAAAGCTGTCCCCATCCTCTCAAGAATCCTTTCCAGGTGTGCAGAAGCGCAGCTCCCGGTGTTTCTGAGCAGTAAATCATGAGCACAGCTGCAGAAATTCAGCACCACAGCAGCTAAGGTTCAGCTGCCACCCCCGTGTGAAGGGTATCACAGCAAGCAAGAAGCAGCTCCTGGAAATATCTGAAAGGAAACTTTTTTCCCCTCTCTGAATGCTACTCGTCAACGTAGTCTTTTCTGCTCCTAAGAGTTGAGAAAATTAAGCATCTCACCCCATTCTTTTGTGTATTATAAAAAAGATCTCTGTATTTCCCTTCTTCCTAT